AATTATCCACTCTTGGTAACATGTATACATGTACATTATATATGTATATGTATGTTCATACCCATGGATATACATAGCCATGTGCACCGCCATTTCTATTTGTAGCTTTTTTGCTTGGTGTTTTATAATACATAGATTAGATACTGTCCAGTATCTATGTGTATCTACCTGTTCAGGATTTCAATAAGATATTCATGACTCAGTCATTGACACAAGTACAAGAGTGTTAACCACATTGGGAAGACAACCCATGAGACCTTTTACAATTAACTGAGTATAAAACGGAGCTATTTTCTTCATTCATTATCCTATCATTGAGAATAACTTTACCTCTGGGTAACAATTTTTGAATGGGGTCCCTACCCCTAGTACAAACAATAGTAACACTTTTATCTTAGTTTTTATACATGATGTAGTAAAGTACATATTAAACATACATGTACATGTACATGTAGCTGTGGTATGAATTGTAACTCTATATAATCTGCTATGTTATTCTCTACTAGTCATATTACAGTATTTAGTTCCTGATAGTCAGAGTGTAATGTTAGAGTCAATACGAGTACTGGGTAATCTCACCAGAGATAAATCAGTGAGAGATTTAATATCAGATATGAGAAGTAAGAAATAAACCTGCAATTTACAAGCTAAATTTTACAAGCTACTTGTTAACACTTCAAATTCACACCTTGAGGTGTTAACAAGCAGCTTGTAATTTTTCAGGAAGTGTTTTTTAATTAAAAAATTTCTCTCTCCCTCCCTCACAGTTGATGAGATATTGTTGACGTTATTAGATTCAAAGCACGTTGAGCTGGTCTATGCTGTGTGTGGTGTATTGGTTAATGTGACAATGGAGCCTGGAGGACAATGTATACATGTATTTAAGAATAATAATGGAGTGAAAAAGTAAGAGAGAAAAGAGAGGGAGAGAGAGGGGAAAGAATAATTTCATGTGCATATGTACGTGTACATTAACTTTATTATTATTCCATTATTTTTAGGTTATTAGATGTTTTAAGTCATTTCAGTAGACAAGACTGGCTATTATCAAGTCTAGCATGTAAAGTACTGTGGAACTATAGGTACATGTTCAATACATACATGTACATATATAATCATTATCTTTATTACCGTATCCTTATTGTATTAATAGTGAAGGAATGACTAACATTAATGAACATTATACTGAAGAGGAAGTGATTACCTTGTTTCACTTACTGGAGGAATATTTAGGTAGCATTGTACATTGATTTTGTACCCATGCATTTACAGCATTTTTACACCTCTCCTCACTCAAACAAACCCTTAACTTTCTCCCC